AGGATCCGAGAGGAAGGACAGACAGACAGCCTTGGGTGCACCCAGCCCCCAACCATGTGGGTCCTGACCGTGGACAAGTCTCATACCTGGCACTTGCTCCCTGTCTGTCCAAAGGAGGCAGGACAGGCAGGATGCCTTCAAAATGTTGGAGGATTGTTAAATATTTATCTGTAGTCCCTTACTTAGAAAGTTGTGGAGCCAAAGATACCCATCAAGGAGGTTACAGACAGTTTAGTAACCAATTAAGTGCTTTGAGAGAAACATATATGTAAGAGAGATTAATTGGGATGGGGGAGGGGGTCCCAAGCTTTTCTGAAATGAGCTGAGCACCAAAGAAAAGGTAACTCAGTAAAGAGATTGAAGTCGCTTCGAAACCTAGGAAACAGGAGTTGGAATTTCTTATGTTCAGATGAGTAACTCACATCAGCTGGCATAATAGGGGTCTTCACCTACTTGCCTGGGGTCTCGGGTCACCAAGTAGCTGAATTTGGAACCTGGTCCTGTCTTTTTACTCACATTTTAGCCTATATTCTTGAGCATAATCTTATTCCATAATCTTAGTCCCAAGATGGAGAAAAGCCTGGAAAACCAATTAGAAAGCAATGAATAGTCAAGATAGTGAAGTCAGTGAGGTGGGAGCCTGGGGTCTGTCAGGCCCTGGGCCCTGTAGTATGACTGGGCAGGAGGTGAACAGGATCCCTGTCCTCCAGCAGCTTTTGGCCTGGAAGGAGGGGGTGGGGAACGGAACAAAAAAAAAAAAAAACCCGAAAGTCTTTTTCAGTGAATGTGCTTGGAGCCTACAGGAAGAAGTCTTGACTCATAGTGAGAAATCGGTGTTTGCAAGAGGAGGAAAAGTGTTCCAACTAGAAGGGACAACATATGCAAAGGCATGACGTGACTAGGAAGAGGTTCAGTGCCACTTTGGGGAATCCAGCCCTGTGGAAGACGTGAACCTAGGGGTCTTGAAATACCAAAAGAGAGGAAAGGGGGCATTTCAAGCTGAGGAACAGGAGGAAGAGGTGTGTGCCAAATCACAAGAGGCAGTAAACTCATCGTGGAAGAAGATAGGCAGGATAAGGGAACAGGTTAAGGTAGTCAGGGCTGGGAGTGTAACTCAGTCAGTGGTAGAACACTTGCTTAGCTTCAAGCCTCAATACCATATCAGTCAATCCTAGGCTGGGATGGTGGGTCTGTAAGTTTGAGGCCAGCCTGGACACCATAGTGGGTTTCAGGTCAGCCTGGGATGTAGAATAAGATCCAGTCTCAAAGTTGTGGGTAGGAAGAGAAGGCAGACAGGCAAGCAGGCACTGTCTGGGGTCTTTTTATGGTTGGGGCTGTAGCTCAGTGGCAGAGCTCATCTTTAGGTACAAGACCCTGAGTTCAGTCTTCAGCCATTCCCCTTTTAAAAAGTTGCATCTGCTCTCTAAGGGCAGAGGGGATGATCTGGTACAAAAGGAGAAGAGCTTTCAGTAAGACAGAAGAGTTTATTTAACTAACTTTGGACACCTATGCCCCCCAAAGAAAGGGAGTGTCTTAGTTAGGGTGCCTGTTGCTGTGATAAAACACCATAACTGAAGAAAGCACTTAATGGGTATTCTAGCCCAAAGTTTCAAATTTCTTCTACAGTCCCTCAGTAATGCCACCCCACCCCCTGCCCCAAATGGCCAGGTCTTGTCAGAATATTCCACTCTCTAGTACCAGTTTCTGTCTTTGTTAGGGTTTCTATTGCTGTGCTAAAACACAACTTGACCAGAAGCAACTTGGGAAGGAAAGGGTTTACTTCAGCTTACAATTCCACATCACAGCCCATCATCGAAAGAAGTCAGGGCAGGAACTGAGACCATGGAGTGATGCTTACTGGCTTGCTAGCCTGCTTTCTTATACACCCCAAGACCACCTGCTCAGGGTGGCACCACCCACAGTGGACTGCCTCTCCCCACATTAGTCATGAATCAAGACAGTACCCCCACAGACTTGCCTGCAGGCCCATCTTAGGAGGTATGTTCTCAATTATGGTTCCTTCCTCTCATAACTACCTTGTGTCAAGTTGACAAAAATCAAAACAAAGACTGGACAGGTGAGAAGGGCACCAGATGAGCCATTTCAGCATCGTCCTGACCTTAGAAGTATGTGGGTGGGCATTATCAAATATAGGAAGCTTGCTGGGCCGTGGTGGTGCACACCTTTAAACCTAGCACTTGGAGTCAGAGGCACGCTGGTCTCTGGGAGTTTAAGGCCAACCTGGTCTGCAGAGAGAGGACAGTCAGGGCTACATAGAGAGAGATTCTGTCTCCAATATAAACACAATATATATGAAATTAGAAGCTGGTTATGGGAGTGCATGCCTTTAATCTCAGCATTCCAGAGGCAGAAGCAAGCAGATTTCTGTGATTTTGAGGCTAGCCTGGTCTACATGGTGAGTTCCAGACCAGCTAGAGCTACATAGTGAAATGTTGTCTCCAAAATAATAATTATATAGAGAGATATAAAACTAAATCATTTCCCCTTGCCTGTAGACAATGAGTTGAAAATCTTGGTGCTGAGGCTGTTCTCACTTCCTTAGGTGCCTTACAGTTCCTTTTATACTCTGGGAACAAATGAATGCTAATTGATTGTCTTGTAGGGTTGGTAAGTGGGGTATGAGTGATTCTAGTCATTGTGGCTCCGACCACATTGAGCTCTGGAAGGGGGAAACTGTTTCAGCCATCTTGGTACTCTGGGGCTTAGCACAGTGTCGGGTTGGGTTACGCAGGAAACATCAGAGAATACTTGGTGAATCAACACCAATGCTCCTGTCCAAGCACAACACTCCCAGTGGTTATCAGACATTCTCTGAAGCCTGACCAACTCTTTCCCTATGCTTCAGCCTTGTCCTCATGCTGCCCTTTCTCACCCTAGAGCAGGCTGCCCATCTGAAGAAACTACAAGAGCAAGACAAACAACAAAAAGTGGAGTTTCGTAAAAGGGTGAGAACAACTGGAGAGATCAAAGGCAGCTTCTGGAAGGACTTGCAGTAAGAGTTGGAAGACGGAGGACTTGGTTGTATTGACAGTGCCTCCAGAGAAGTGAACTAAAAGCCAGTGGCATGGGAATTGGGAACGCAGTGGGAGGTTTAAAAAGGCCAGCGGCCCAGGAGAGTTTTGGGTGGAGCTATCATCTCATGTCCTCCTTTTGTTTCTCCTAAGATGGAGAAAGAGGTGTCTGATTTCATCCAGGACAGTGGACAGGTCAAGAAAAAGTTTCAGCCCATGAACAAGATAGAGAGGAGCATACTGTAAGTGTCCCTTGGCTGGGGGAGGCAACAAGTGGCCAATGAAGGAGCCGCTGGGGACTAGGAGCCCTCATGGCTCATTGCTCTTTCCTCTCTCTGCCTTTTCCTAGCCACGATGTGGTAGAAGTGGCAGGCCTCACATCCTTCTCCTTTGGAGAAGATGACGACTGTCGCTATGTCATGATCTTCAAAAAGGTAAAAGCCTGGGCTCCTCCCTCTCCTCTCAGCCTGTCCCTGCTACCTGAGGGAGGGAGAGGAATGAGATCACATATATATTTGACCTCTGATTCTTCCTTCCCCTTCATCCCCAGGAGTTTGCACCCTCAGATGAAGAGCTGGACTCCTACCGTCACGGAGAGGAGTGGGACCCCCAGAAGGCTGAGGAGAAACGGAAGCTAAAGGTGAGCTGTGCCTTGCAGTCCCTGGAGCCTATAAACATCACTTGGAAGAGGCCAGCTGGGGTCAGGGCTTTGAGCACAGGTACCTCACCTCTGTGCCCTTAGGAGCTGGCTCAGAAACAGGAGGAAGAGGCAGCCAAGCAGGGACCTGCGGTGGTGAGCCCTGCTAGCGACTACAAGGACAAGTATAGCCACCTTATTGGCAAAGGAGCAGCCAAAGATGCAGCCCACATGCTACAGGCCAACAAGACCTATGGCTGTGGTGAGCCATTGTGGGAACTGGGAGGCATGAGAAGAGCATGGCTGGGGGAGGGGAGCAGAAACTGAGGTCTTGCCCATTCTCTCCTCTGCTTCTAGTGCCCGTGGCCAACAAGCGGGATACTCGCTCCATAGAAGAGGCCATGAATGAGATTCGAGCCAAGAAACGTCTGCGGCAGAGTGGGGAAGAGTTGCCAACTACCTCCTAGGCATCGCACCCAACTCCCTTTGACCTCCAGCAAGGCAGGGGCATGGAGGAACAAGGCTGCTGCTATCAGGACCCATCCTGGAGCCCCACCTCTAAACTGTGAGGTCCTACCAGCTGTCACTCAGGCTGGAGAAGCAGGTGTTTATCACTGCTGCAACTTGGATGTATGGTTGGTGCTTGTGTGTGTGTGTGTAAGAGTACAAATGTGTGGGTGGGTATTTAATCTGTATTATTCTCTATTATCCTTGTAACTTTCTTCCCCATGGGGCTGGGGTTACTTTACATTGAATAAACACTGTTTGACCCAGTGTTCTGATTTGTACATAGAAATGTGGGTAGTGGGTCCATAGGCAGAGAAGCCAATTATTCCCACTGTTATTGTGACTTTCAAGTTGATTTTTATTTTGTGGTTCTAGAGATTGAACTTGGGGCCTCGTGAATATTGGGCAAGCACTCTTATCACTAAGCTGGGGTGGAGTTCTCTTGAGTTTATGTGTATGAGTGTTTTACCTGCATGTAAGGATGTACACCGTGTGCATGCCTGGTGTCTGGTGGTCAGAAGAGGGCATTGGAGCCCTAGAACTAGGGTTACTGATAGTTGTGAGCCACTAGGTCAGTGCTGAGAATTGAACCCTGCTGCTTGTCAGAGCAACAAGTGCCCTTGACCATTGAGCCGCCATCTCTTTAGCCCCCTAAGCTTGGAATTTTGAGACAGGGTCTTACTATGTTATCCCATCTTTGTTTTCCAAGGCCTGAGGTTACAGATGTGAGCTACCACACCCAGCTAAGTATAGTATTTTAAGGCTGAAGCCAAATGGCCTGGCTTTGTGTCCTAGCTCTACCCGTTGCTAACTCTGCTGTGTTGAATATGGTATATTTAATTCTTTATCTCTTGGTTTTCTTGTGTGTAAAATGGGACAAGAATGGTAAATGTCTGATAGGACTGTCTCAAAGCTTATGAACACTTCCAGATCCTCACAAGCTCCACGGAAGTGGTAAATGATCTCATTATCAGTTATCCTCACAAAGCACTCACTCTGGCTGCATCCTGTTCTAGATCCCTCATGCTGGGAGCATCAGGACCCTGGTCCCTCTCTATCGACTGCTGCCCACTCAGTAGCTGTTTCCTCGTTCCACAAACACCTCTCCAGCTCCTTTTCACATGGAGAATTTGCTTTTTCTAGCTTCATTCCAAAATGTGAATTTCTCTGTTTTACACCACTTCCTTGTCACAGCAGGTTACATATCATTCTCTACCTCTTCCTCCTTCCACCTGTCCACTTCCTGTCCTTCCTGGCTAGCTAGTCATCCTGTCTCTCCTTCCAAGGAGCACAACATGGTCTCGTTTGGCAGTGTTTATTTCAGGGAGAAGGTCTTGAAGGCCTGGTTCTGTTCTTTGGAGTCCTGGAGCCTTCAGCTTCTCATTTGGCCTTTGGATTACGGAACTTTCGTCCAGCAAAGACAGCTTTGTCTCCAAGAGCCTCCTCAATCCTGTAATAAAAAAATAAAGAGCTGCCACCTTCTAACCTAGGAGTGCCTTCCTTTCCCCACTGTCCAGGCCTCTGTACCCAGTATACCTCATAAGCTGGTTGTATTTGGCCAGACGCTCTGAACGGCACGGGGCACCAGTCTTGATCTGAGGTGGGAAAGGGATTTGGAGGGGTTGGGTTGGGCCCAAATGAGCAGTCTTTAGTGGTTAAATACTCAGGAGAGAGAAGGCTTGAGTACCTGTCCTGTGCAGAGTCCCACCACGAGGTCAGCAATGAAAGTGTCTTCAGTCTCCCCAGAGCGGTGGCTCACCATCACCCCCCAGCCATTAGATTGTGCCAGTTTGCAGCTGAGTGAGAAGAACATTTGATGAAGCCTTAGGTGACCTCCTCAGTAAGAAAGCTAGGGGCAAGGCAGAACTTTCCCTTCGTTTTGGGCAGTGGGCACCACAGGAAATGCGGTGCCTAAGTTCTCTGGGAGGCTGGAGGGGAGAGATTTCTGATCTTGGATGAGGATGGTCAGAAGATAGTACTAAGAGCGCAGTATGGGAGGGAGGTAAAGGGACATGGCAAAGCACAGTGGCAAAGGTCTTGGGGACAAGCCAAGGGTTAGTCATAGCCTTGGGGTTAAGAGTACTACGACTTGGGTGGGTCAGGTTCCCAGGGAAGGGCAGACTTAGGGCAAGAACACCAGCAGTGTTTGAGCTGGAGCTGAGCGTGGCCACTCTGAGCCTGAGTCAGGAGACACTCACGCCTGGATGGATTCTGTCACTGAGCCAATCTGATTGACCTTCAGTAGCAGGCAATTGCAGGCCTTCTTCTCAACAGCCTGAGCGATCCTCTTGGGGTTGGTGACTGTAAGGTCATCTCCCACAATCTGGATGTCCACTCCGGAGAGGAATGAGGTCCACGTGGCCCAGTCATCCTGGTCAAAGGGGTCTTCAATGGAGACCACTGGTAGGGGTGTGGGAACACAGTTGAGGTTAGAGACGGGGCCAGATGGAGGGGTGACAAGAAGTAGAGGTTAAATGGTGGCTGTGATGGAGCTAAGGATGGAAAGGACAGGAGCTGTGACAAAGTCAAACACTGAAACCCACGGTCAGGCAACTGCAGAAGACTAAGGCAGGGAAAAGGGACATGGAAGTCTCACCAGGATAGTTCTTGATGAAGTTCTTGTACAGCTCCCCAAGCTTCTCCCCACTGATGTGCCGTGCAGGGTCGTCAGGTGACTTGAAGTCCAGATCATACTTCCCATTGCGATAGAATTCAGATGCCGCCACATCCATGCCAATTACCACCTTGTCTGGGTAACCAGCTGCCTGAATGGCTGTCTTCAGCAGCTCCAGGGCTAGGAGAGGAGCAAGAAATGACCTGAGAAGCCAATGTCCCCTGTATCTGCAGTCTCTCTTCCTTCCCACATCATGAGTGCCCCGGTGGTCTATGCCCCAGGATGCTCACACTAACCCTCATTGTTCTCCAGGATGTTGGGTGCAAAGCCTCCCTCGTCTCCCACATTGGTGGCGTCCTTCCCATACTTGGCCTTGATGACCCCCTTGAGGTGGTGGTACACCTCGGCACCAATGCGCATGGCTTCCTTGAATGAGCTGGCTCCCACTGGCAGAATCATGAACTCCTGCATGGCTAGCTTGTTTCCAGCATGAGAGCCCCCATTGATCACTTTGAAGGCCTGAGACAGGAGACAATGTTCAGAAGTGGGTGGCATGTGGGGTCAAAGGTGAGAGGGGACTCTGGACCCTGCTCACTAGCTAAGGGGTTTAGGATGCAGAATGGTGCTCCTCAGAGCCTTTCTCTCAATTTCTACAAAATGGTTACAATACCTACTTCCTGTAGACTCTTCTGAAAATTAGGAGAAATCGAATATAAAATTCTTAGTATGTGCCTAATATGTAATGGAATACTTTTAATGGCATTCTAAATAAACTAGCATGTTTCACTCTCAAACACCTCTATTAACTGTACACTCATTAATTTCTTCTTTATGGATGAGGACACTGAGGCATAGAGGTTTCTTTTTTTTCTTTTTCTTATTCTTTTTTGTTTTTCGAGACAGGGTTTCTCTGTATTGTTTTGGAGGCTGTCCTGGAACTAGCTGGAATTAAAGGCGTGCACCACCAACCCCTGGCTTCAAGGTTTCTAAGATCATACAACTAGAAAACAGGCACGATCAGGGGCTGAACCCAGCAGATGTCTCTAGAATCCATTCTTTTTTTCTGTGTGTTCGGGGTGAGGGGGTGGGGGAAAATGTTTCAAGACAGGGTTTCTCTGTGTTGCCCTGGCTGCCCTGGAACTCAATTTATAGACCAGACTGGCTTCGAACTCACAGAGATCCACCTGCCTCTGCCTCTCGAGTGCTGGAATTATAGGCATGCACTACCACCGCCCATGCTCTTAACACGATCTTCCTTAGTAACTAACAATAAATGATGACATGATTATTGAGATTAAGTTCTGCCCAGTCCATGCAGGGCTCCAAGGCGAGAAGTGATTGAGGTAGCAAGGGAATGAAGAAAAGACAAGACAATGGACACACAGAAAAGCTGGAAAGTGAGCAGACTGAGCTCTCTGATGGAAAAACCTCAGCACTCAAGAAGCTCAATGTGTAATTATTATACAGAGCTCAGCATATTTCTCATATAGAGTTGAACAGAGAAGCAGGGTTATTGCATACATACAAACAAGGACGTGGGGCTTATGGTATACAAATGGACCGAGGGGACAGGGTTAGAGGCTCTCAGGAAGAGCAGTCTCTGTAGGGCAGCAGTCTTCAGGGAGCTATGGTGGACACATTATGTACACACTATCAACACATGCATCTGGAATCCAAGGAAGGCTTTACCATGCCTCTGAACCTAGCCCAGGGAGCAGGCTTTGCCATCCCTCCATGGGTCTGAAGCTCTGGGATCTTTGACAAGGCTGGTCCATGTCAACACACACATTCACCCAGGACTTCATACACTCAGGGCTTTCTCTGGACCCTACAAATTCAAAGTTACTACTAACTGGGTAGTGACTTCACACAGACTTGGAAGATACATAGAGATACTGAGGTCCTTGCCCTAAGGACGCTTTCAAATCTGGTTGGAGGAATGGTGTACAAAGATAGAATGAGTCTGGAATGTAAAGGAACTAAGGGACCTGGCAAGGGGAGGAAACATCAAGGGGCTTAGCTTTAGGCTGTGGGAAAGAGGGAGGGCCCGGAGAGATCTCATTTCAGTGCTTCTTTGCAGCCGGATCTGCAAGGTAGACTTTCTGGGGGGGGGGCTACCCAAACATTCCTGGCTGGGGAGGGGCAGGCGCCAAAGGGATTCAGAAGGGACAACCACACTCACAGGCACAGGAAGTACGAGATCAGGGTTCCCTGCAAGATCTGCGATGTGTCGGTAGAGAGGGACCCCTTTCTCAGCTGCTCCTGCCTTACAAACAGCCAAGGACACACCCAGGATAGCATTGGCCCCAAACTTGGCTGGAGGGAGGCAAACAGGGAGAAAGGATGAGAGCTCTTCCAGGTTCTTCAGTTAATTCCATGAACATTTTGGCCACCCCAGGAAGAAGCTTCCTAAACCACTGGACATTAAGATTTCATTAACTCATCTCTTTTCTGGCCTGCAGACTTCTGGGAGTTCACCTCCTCCTCCCCGAGCCAACAGTTTCACATGTGTCTCCTGCCAGCCAGGCCTGGCAGAAGACAGGCCTCAGGAAATGCCTGTGGAATGAATAAAGGGCTATCCAGCTACGGTGTGCCCCAAGACGTGGGACACAGAAGCGACCCTTCCACCCTTGCCGTGTGCATGCCGCGTTCTCCCCATTGCTAGGACTTCACTCACACTTATTCTCTGTCCCGTCCAGCTCAATCATAAACTTGTCAACTTTTTCTTGATCCACAACACTTAGTTTCTGGAAGAGGCAGAAGTCAGAGTTCGATGAAGGATAGGCAACAATATTTGGAGTGGGGTTACCTGGAGTGGGGGTCAGGGGGCTCCTCCGCTTGCCTTTTCCAGCAGAGCTGGCCCTAGAGTCTTGTTGATATGCTCCACAGCCTTCAGCACTCCTGGAGGCCAGAGATGGGGTTCAGATTTCTGAGGGGATTAGGCCTCTTCCCATGTGGGGCCCTTGGCTTTGGGTTCCAGTCCTCTACCCTGTCCTGGATGTGCCTACACAGGCTCCTCCTGGGTTGGGTTAATCTTTGCTCACCTTTCCCCAGGTATCGAGATTTGTCTCCATCTCTTAGCTCCAGTGCTTCATAGATACCTGTGGAAGCTCCACTGGGCACAGCTGCTCGGAATCGACCTGGACAAGAGGAAGCGGCAGATCAGGGAGCCCATTCGCAAGGGCCTGGGATCACCTCCCTGGATTCAGGGACAGGAGAAAATACAGAAAAACTCCTGCCTCCCCCAGCTTTGGGCCTATGAAGGAGTCTGGGGAATAGAATTCTTGGGAAGGAGCAGGTGAGGTTGGGGTTTTCTGAGGCAAACCAATTAATTTCAACAGGCATGTGTTACCCTTGGCTGTGTGTAGGTCCACCTCCACGGTGGGGTTGCCCCTGGAGTCCAGGATTTCTCGAGCAAAGATTTTTTGCATGGCCATGACTGCACCACAAGAGATGAGTGAGCAAGCGTGGACAGTTGATCCCTTAAGGAACTAGAAATCCCTTGCCCTTTTAAGAGTCTTCTCCACCCCAAGAAGGCAGGTGCTGGAGCTAAAAATACAAAATAAAAAGGCCACAGACCAGAGGCAGGCAGGCCGGGCCCCCTCCCCCACCCTCCCCCACTCAGAGCGGCTCTTGTTCCACCCTCCCATCCTGAGAATAAAGGACTCAAAACTTTATAAACTCCCCAGATGACACCACTCCCTGAACACTTCACCAAGTTTATGCCTTCTTCTTCTACTTTTCTGATTAAGCACCTACTTGCTCCATCTTCCTAGCCCTCAAATCTTCTCTGGTTCTTATTGTCTCATTCCAAAATCCTCCTAGACCATCTATTCTCTGCCTGGCATACTTCTGTCTTCTTTATCTACTTCCCCACCCCTCAGAGCCTCCTTTCCTCTATCTGTCAGTACTCCAGTACTCCTCAATCGTGCTTGTTAAGTACCCTAAGTCATAGGAAAAAAACCCAAATTTCCCTCACTTTTTCTAAGCCAGCACCACCCTACCCCTGCACACCATGTAAGTGAAGTTTTATCAAACCTGACTTCTTCCCTGGGACTCTGAATGAAGCTTCTCGTCTTGGTGGCAGCTGGGACAGTGTCAGCTCACCCCTTCTCAGGCTGGGGATTTGTCCCCAAGCCACCCTGTCCCCCCGCCAGCCCCGCCTCTCTCATTCCATCCTTCCCCCCCCCCCACTCCATACCCGGCCTGTAGCCAAATGCCCACTACTGCCTAAAGCAGAAGTCTCTGGCGTGGGTACCCCTTCTCAAAAGTTAATGCATACCCCATACATTTTCTGTTCCCCAATAAACCATCTCTACTTTGAGGTTCACTTTTTGAGGGAGCAAGGGAGGGGCTTCTGAGAGGAGGGTCTCCGTGAACCTTAAGCTTACATTCATTTCCCCTTTTGCAAAGGTTGAAGATGAACTAGTGCCCTTTAGGAAAGGCCAGGGGTAATCTGAGCCCTGCAGGCTGAGGAGGGGGCCTGGAAAAGGGGCTGCAAGACTGACATGCACGCGTGCTCCACTCACTCGGAGGCAAGCAGTGCAGGCCACGCAATTGGGGGAAGGAATCAGTGATGCTGAGCAAGCTCTGTGGTCTAAAGTTGACACCACTCCGCCAAAGAAGGCGAGCGCTTTCACCTCTCAGGGTCCTTATAACGGCCATGTCGGCACCACTCCACCCTACCCTCTCTTGGCCAGAGAAGGGCGATGAGAGTGTCCAGGAGACGAATATAGACCCGCACTGCGTGCTGGCCTGGCGCCTGACAGACTGCTGGTGCAGCACTTATGGCCCAGCGTGAAGCCTAGTGGTCAGTCACCCTTTTCCTCCTCCGACTGTGGGTGCTTCGGCGCTCAATCCTTTACTATCAAAGAATGATGTTGCATCTCGAGTGGGGGAAAAAAGAAAAACCATGAAAAAAACCATGAATGAACGCTA